CGGGAGCCACTCTTCATCGCAGTGCACGGGCCTCTCACTGTTGCGGCCTCTCTTGTTGCGGAGCACAGGCTCCAGACGCACAGGCTCAGTAGTTGTGGCTCGCAGGCTCCAGAGCGCAGGCTCAGTAGTTGTGGCTCACAGGCCTAGTTGCTCCGCGGCATGTGGGGTCTTCCCAGACCAGGGCTCAAACCCATGTCCCCTGCATTGGCAGGCAGACTCTCAACCACTGCGCCACCAGGAAAGCCCGGCAGGTGGATTCTTAACCACTGTGCCACCAGGGAAGTCCCCAAAGTAGCTTTTTTGATTTAAGTAGTATAACCTGCTCATTTTGGACAATTTGGAAAATTCTGAAAAGGATCATTGTTAATAAGCCCACCATCCCATAATCAGAGACTGATTTTATTTAGAAATTAGTATATTTGCTATTGCTAAGATATTGGCATATTTCTCTCCATTATGTGATTTTTTTCAAACAGCTTTACTGAGGTATAACTGACATAAAATAAGCTGCACATATTTAAAGTGCACAATTTGATGAGATTTGGCATATTTGCACACTTGTGTAATCATCACCTCAATCAAGAAAAGGAACATCACCCAAAGTTCCCTGGCGCTCCCTTTGCAATCCCTCCTCCCAATGCTCCCCACCCCCCATCCCTAGGTAACCATTTACCTACTTTCTTTCACTAGATTAGTTTGCATTTTCTGGAAATGTATGTAAGTGGAATCATACAGTATGTACTTTTGTTTTGGTCTGACTTCTTTCACTCAGCATAATTACTTTGAGTTTCATCCATGTTGTTGTGTATTCATTTCTTTTTATTGATGAGTAGTATTCTGTAGTATGAATGTACCACACTTTGTGGACTTGGGGACCAACATTTGGTCTGTTTCCAGCTATTGCAAATAAAACTGCTGTGAATATTCATGTATGGGCCTTTGTGTAGACATGCTTTTATTTCTCTTGGGTAATTACCTAAGAATGGAGTGGCTAGGTCATATGGTAGGTGTATTTTTGCCTTTTCATCAGGAAACTGGCAAAGTATTTTTCCAAGCAGCTATACCATTTTCCGTTCCCATCAGCAGTGTATGAGAACTCCAATCCATCCTCCATATTACTGTCAACACTTGATATAGTCCATCTTTTTCATTTTAGCCATTCAAGGTGGTGTGCAATGGGTATCTCATTGTGGTCTTAATTATCATTTCCCTAATGACTAATGATATTGCACATCTTTTCTTATTCTTATGCCACTCATATGTCTTCTTTGGTGAAGTATCTATTCAGATATTTTGCACATTTTAAAATTTTGTTGTATGTCTTCTTATTATTGACTTGTAAGTGTACTTTATATATTCTAGATCCAAGTTCTTTTTTGGATAGGTTTGTCTAATATTTTCTCCCAGTCTGTTGCTTGCCTTTTCATTTTTGTAATAGTGGGTTTTCAAGTGCAAAAGGTATTAATTTTGGTGAAGTACAGTTTATTGATTTTTTTTCTTGATAGCTTATACTTTTTGTGTCCTATTTAAGAAAATCTGCTAAACTGCAAACCAGTAAGATTTTCTCCTATGTTTTCTTCTGTTATGGTTTTTAAGTTTTAACTCTTAAGTTTTGATTTATAATTAGTTTTTAGTTAATTTTTGTATATGATGTATGGATATGGATATGATATGGATATGAGGTATGGGTCCAAGTTCACCTTTTGCATATGGTTCTCTACTTCCAGCATTATGAATAATTTTATATCATCCATTAGTACATGCGCTAGGATGAGCTTGGTATCTCTGCTGTATCATTGCATAGTTGTGTCACTTTGACTTTCTGTATCTCAGTTTACTAATCTGTACAATGGGAATAATAGTGATTGGCCCTATCTCTCTGACAGGATTGTTAAAGAGATCAACTTGAGATAAGTAATATTGTTCATAATTTTTCCTTCTCTGGAAAGTTGAAAACATGGAAGTCAACCTGAATCCCTCCATCATCATGATCACACTCAGGCACCTCTTAGGTATTTCTCGAATCTGTTATCTCCTCACAACTCCGACTCCCACTGTCTTGGTCAGGCCAGACGCTTCCTTTCTCATCAGGCTCATTGCAGTGATCCTACCAACTGATCTGCTGCTTCCAGGCTTGCTGCCCTCAGACCCAGCCTCTCTGCTGCCTCCCGGCTGATCCATCAAACCTTGTCAGTCATGTTATCTTCTGCTGACACTGTCTCATCTGCAGGATCAAGTCCAAGCTTTAGGTCAAGCCCTCCATGCTCTGGCCCTGCCTCCCCTCTAGTCTGCCCACTTGTGCACATGCACACACACACACACATGCACACACACATGTACACACACATCCTTGCCATTGTTCACCTCCATGACTCTTGACTCTGGCTGTGAGATGTGCTCTTTCCCTGCATTTCCATTGTACTCTGGGCCACCTCCATGCCCAGAGTGTCACGTTGCTTTTCCACATTGCATTGTAAGTACCATTTGCATCTCCCGCATCTAAATGTAAGCAGTTCAAGAAATGGAACTGTTGGGCTTCCCTGGTGGTGCAGTGATTGAGAGCCCGCCTGCCGATGCAGGGGACACGGGTTCGTGCCCCGGTCCGGGAAGATCCCACATGCCGCGGAGCGGCTGGGCCTGTGAGCCGTGGCCGCTGAGCCTGCGCGTCCGGAGCCTGTGCTCCGCAATGGGAGAGGCCACAACAGTGAGAGGCCTGCGTACCGCAAAACAAAACAAAACAAACAAACAAAAAAAGGCACTGTTGTTTTATCCATTTTTATTTCTTGTCATCCAGCATAGAGCCTGGCCCAGAGCAGAACCAAGAGTTGTTTGAAGAACTAAACATGATACTAAGAAAGGGATGACTATTTTTGTAAAGAATTATAGCAGTTCAATGCAGAAATGGCTCTTGGAAATCATCCAGGTCAGCATTTCCCTATCCAGATCCAGAGCCAGTGACTATGAACACTTTGTACCTTTTTCTCTGGAATGAGGGGCAGGCAAAGGGGAAAGGGCTGGAGTTGCTGTAAGGCCTTAATCTTTTGTCTTAGCACGAATCATCAGCAAGTCCTAGATCGAGAAGTAGGAGGTGGGAGGAAAGGTTATTAAGGACAGTATCTGAAGATGAGACTAAGATCATCTTAGTGTCTCTCCACAAATTACTTGTTAAAAGGAAAAATAGGGGCTTCCCTGGTGGCGCAGTGGTTGAGAGTCCGCCTGCCGATGCGGGGGACACGGGTTCGTGCCCAGGTCCGGGAAGATCCCACATGCCGTGGAGCGGCTGGGCCTGTGAGCCATGGCTGCTGAGCCTGCGCGTCTGGAGCCTGTGCTCCGCAACGGGAGAGGCCACAACAGTGAGGGGCCCGCGTACCGCAAAGGAAAAATAAACACTATAGGGGAGATGCACAAGAATATGAATGTACTTACTGCCGCTGAACTATACACTTTTAAAAATGGTTAAAATGGTAAATTGTGTGCTGTGTGTATTTTACCACAATTTAAAAAGTAGACAAAGGGGTAAACTGTGTAATAGAAAAACTAGGCAATAAATACTTCAATGAAGTGATCAAAATTAACATCACCAATAAGGACAAATGGACATCTTGTGCCTCTGGATGTGATTGCCTGAAAAGCATTTATGCAGCATTCTAGCAAAAATGCACAACATCAATCCAGCCATGAGGAGTCATCGACAGACCCAAATTAAGGGTCTTGATATGCAATAACTGGCCTGTATTCATCAGAAAAATATCAGTGTCATAAAAGATAAAGACAGACTGACGGACTGTTCCAGATTGAAAGGTGACTGAAAAGCTATGACAACTAAGTGTAATACATGATCCTGAATTAGATCCTGCACCAGGAAAAAGAAGTTTCTTCTTTTATTAAGTAAAGCATCTTATTAGAACAACTGGTAAAGTTGGAATATAAACTGTAGATTGCTAAGACCATTGTTAAATTTCCTGAATTTGATAACTGTCCTGTGGTTATGGACGAGACTATCCTTGTTTTTAGGAAACACACACTGAAATATTTAGGGCAAAGTGGCATGATATGTACAACCTACTCTCAGATAGTTCAGAAGTAATAAACATTAATGGTAAAGCACATGTGGCAAAATGTTAAGAATGGATGACTCTGTATAAAAGACATGAGGAGTCCTATGTACTGTTCTTGCAAACTTTTCTGTAAGTTTGAAAGTGTTTCAAAACAAAAAAGTTTTTAAATTGCCTTGGTGTTGATTCAATAAATGTCGTTACATCCATACAAGGGTATATTTGACAGTCATTAAAAATATATTTATTGACATAGAAACAAATTCATAATATATAATTGATTGAAGCAAGCAAATTGCAGTATGATCTATTTTATTCAGAACAAAACAAAAATCTCCTTTTCTGAAAAACAGTTTGAAAAGATGTATACCAAAATGTTAATTTTGATTATCTCTGAGTTATGGAATAAAGGGAAATTTAAAATTTTTTATTTTTGTTTATCTATATTTTCTACTTTTTCTACAATGTGCATGCATTAATTATGTAATAAAAATTATTTAAAAATCATGAAGAAACAAGTGACCAAAAAGCCTTAAAGCCACCCAAGTGCGTGGACTGACTGGGAACCCTCTGAGCTGGGTACCTGCATTCTCTGGTAGCCTCTTTCTGCAGCAGAAGCTCCAAGTCCTTTCAGCTTCCAGAATCACACTGTGGTAAATTAAAGAAAAAGAAAAAACTCCTTATCTTCCATGCTCTGTCTTTTCCAACTTTGCTTTCTCTAGATGGAAAGCCCTCAGAGAGTTGTTGCTGGTGTATTTGGTATTCTAAACTGTTCTCCACGTGTTTAAGTGTTTTCTGATCCCTGGTCAATTTAAAATAGGTTTTTAACTGCTGCTCCTCACAGGCTCCTGGACTTTTCCATAACTAATTGGAAGATGTTGGATTTTAAGGACCTCATGGAATGAATAAGCACCTTCCTTAACTTCCGTTCTCCCTTTTTCTCAGCAGGCCCAGGAACGATTGCCGCATTCCTGACGAGGAATTTCAGGCAAGGGCCTGAAAGATCTAATAGTCACTTTTCAAAGATGCTTTCTTTGAACTCTCTCACTCAGAGAGCGACTACAACGAAGACAAAAAGCACAGCAGTTGTGATATCATTAATGTGTCCCTCTAATCCGCTCTATCAGGGCTGTCGCTCATGGTTGACTCTACTTCTGGATGTCCAAAAAAATCAGATCATCATCTACCACATTTACCCTTTAAGATGGTGTTTTCCTGTGAATTGAGCATCATGTCATGGTCTTCTTATTTTTATTCAAAATGTTTTAATGAATTTGTTTCATATCCTTCATTTCTGGGTCTTGAGTTCTTCATCAGACCCTTTAATATTCAGTCTCTGAGCACGGATTTATAGATTTTTGCTTGTTATATATTGTGCCTCTTAAGATATGTTGGACTTTCTTGTCATCTTGACACTGATTTACCAGAATGAACTTCCTGGGAGAACAGTGTTATGAAGAAATTGTTCCACTCTGACAGCAGGTGATTTTCACTAGTTTTGCTGAGTTTAGAGACTCAATGCGGGCACTTTGAAAATTGCAGTAGCCATGATCTGCAGGCAACTGGGTCTGGGCATTTTCCTAATGTGACCTATTACCAGCTCATAATATTAGCTTCTTATGTTTGGAGATAGGCAACCGAGTTTATATATAGATTTCATTTTTTAAAAAAATATTGCCAAGTGGCAAGTAAACATAGCATGAAGTAAAGCCTTGTTTATTTATTCAATCTCATATCTTACTCAACTCTAGTTCTAAGAAATCTTTCTTATTACTTATGATATCATTTGTCCTTTAAAATAAAGCCAAAACATGCTTAAAAGCAACATGAAACTAAACAAAGGAAAAATTCAGTATTCTTCGGGTCATGGTTGTTCAAAACGTGAAGTGGTCAGAAAATATTTCTTCCTATTTTTATCTTAATTACCTCCAATCCCTTTCAGGAGCAAAACAGCTTAAAAGTTTGCAAATAAATTCATTTGTCTATGTAGCCATTTCCCTTGGGTTTGGAATAATCTTCCTTAACTACGTGAAAAACCTAGACCTAAGGTTATACTCAGAGAGAAAGTGAGACAAGACCACAGGTATAGCCATGCCAAGTGATAGGTAACTGAGGATGCAGAGGTACCAGTTAGGAAACTACTGAGAACTGGGTTTGGTGGCAGTAGTGGGATGAAAGCTTGTGGCTCCAGAGGTGTTTAAGGAGGGGCTCAAAGGACTGATACCTGTGCCTTTACTGGCTGACTGGCTTGGAATCTGGATAGGGAGATACTGACTTGGATGATTTCCATGAGCCATTTCTGCACTGAGCCATATTCTTTACAAAAATAGTCATCCCTTTCCTAGTATCATGTTTAGTTCTTCAAACAACTCTTGGTTCTGCTCTGGGCCAGGCTCTATGCTGGATGTCAAGAAATAAAAATGGATAAAGCAACAGTGCCTTTTCTTGAGCTGCTTACATTTAGGTGGGGGAGACGCAAATGGTACTTACAATAGGTAACTGAGGTAGAAATCAACCTGGAGAGTGTGGTGTTACAGTGAGGAACCCATTTCATCATAGCCTCAAAGACTAGAAGGATGGTGGAGGCCCTTGTTTTTGCTATAGGTACTGTTACTGTCAAACACTGACCTTTGTGAGAGGTGACCTTTGAGCCCCTCCTTAAACATCTCTGGAGCCACGAGCTTTCATCCCACTACTGCCACCAAATCCAGTTCTCAGTAGTTTCCTAACTGGTACCTCTACATCCACTCTTGCCTTCAACAGTCCATTCCCTACAGGGCTAATCTTGAAATGCAAACATGATCATGACTCTCTCTCCTCTTTAAACCTCCACAGCAGCTTCCCATTCTGTTAGGCTAAAATCCAATTTGTACAGGACTGGGTCTAGTCTTTCTATCCTGTCTCATCCACTACCATTCTCCCCTCCTGTTCTGTGGTCCAGCCATGGGGCCTCACTGGCCTCCCTTCAGTTCCTCAGAAGCTCTATACTCCCACCTGCCACCATCTGGGTGAGGCTCCTTTGTTATAGCATCTCACACAACCATGTCCATCTCTGCAGAGCACTTCCCCTCAGTTTGTATTGATGTATTCCTCATGGTCTCTCTTTGATTAAGTGTAAGCTCTGCCAAGGAAGAGAGTCCATCACTGCCATATCACCATAACCAAACCCAGTGATTGGTTAAGTCAGTAAAACTTAAGGTGAGGTCTAGGTTGAGTTACCATTTTCTGTTGAGAAGCATTAGCTCCACAAATTGGTATGATTGCATCATTGCCACAAAGGGACCAAGCAACTTCCATTTACCTCTTACCTCAATTTACCTCTTGAGTAAATTCCTGTCTGTTATGACAATGCGGCAGTCATTAAATTCTGTAATCATGTACTATGCAAATTACATTGGCTCAAACTTACTCTGGCTCAACTGCCACACCCGTCCTCTCTCCCCTTCAAAGCATCTCTCAGCTCTTCCTGGAAGGTCCTAAAGTGTAACAGTTGCCACACCTCATCCATCCTGTCCTTTCCCTCTGGCTCTACTCACCTGATTCTCATGTCCCAGTGGCCACGTTCTCGAAACCACTTGAAGGAACAACGGAGTGGCCTTGTCAGTAGTCCCCCTGTGAGATCACCATATCCACACCCCGGTTGGCTACCAGGGTTTTGACACAAGGGGTCTTCCCCACATAAAGGAAATGTTTGGCCCAAAGACAAATGTAAGTTTCTACCGCTAGAGACCAAAACAGTTCAAAAAGCTTAAAAAACAAAAATAACAACGAAAATCTTTAAGTTGCCCACATCAGCCCAGACGTATGAGATATGCATTGCCTTATTTAATTGTCACAAAAATCCTATCATGTCTGTGCTACTGTCTTCATTTTAGAGCTGAGAAAAACTGAGGCTCTAGGATGTTGAGTGACTCACTGAAGTCCAACAGCATCGGGGCCAGGATTCAAACCCAGGTCTAATGACTTTAGCTCTTAACCAGTATTTTATATTGCAGACCAAGGTCAACAGAAATGGCTGACATGGGGACTTGCATACAATTAACTTCAATTAGCCCTTGTAGACCAAAATCATTCTGTAAAGGCAATATCCAAAGAGGCTTGACTGAAGATAATTTTTTTTTTTTTTTTTGCGGTACGCGGGCCTCTCACTGTTGTGGCCTCTTCCGTTGCGGAGCACAGGCTCCGGACGCGCAGGCTCAGCGGCCATGGCTCACGGGCCTAGCAGCTCTGCGGCATGTGGGATCTTCCCGGACTGGGACACGAACCCGTGTCCCCTGCATCGGCAGGCGGACTCTCAACCACTGCGCCACCAGGGAAGCCCGATAAATTATTTATATAAAGATACACAGAGTATATTCCTAAGTGTTAGTTTCATCATCTTAATCTTTTAACTTTATACATGCTCACAGTTAAGGCATTTTCTCCCCAGGTCTGTATTTCTAAATGTTTATGTATTTCTCCTTGTAACCACATAACCTCCTAACACCACCCAGGCAGGAGCCTCCTGTGCAGACTCTCAAGGCCTGAGTTTCCCTTCAGCTGCTCATGTGATGCTCCTTGAGGACTCAGCACAGTCATGCGGTCATGCTGCCCAGCTTGTGCTTATTCTTAGTTTCAGGTAGTGTGGGGATGGATTTCCTGCCAGAATCCTGCCTTGGCATGCCATGTAACTGACCACAAGCCGTGGCCCATCGTATGCTATTTATAGCAAGTGACAAAAATAGCCTCACCCCTCTGAAAGGTGTACTTGTGCCATATGCCCCCTGGCCTCCTACCATCTGACAGGCACTTCTCTCCAGACCTCAGGATGCAACAGGACTGTCTCCTCACACCGACCCAGAGGCACCGTGTCCCTCTTGTGTGCACGCCTCCTGCTCCAGAGGCAGCCAGGGGTGGGAAGGCACCAAGGCAGGGCCTCAGCCCTGGGGTCAAGGCAGAACATAGTAACGGACCCAAGGAAGGAGCTTGGGGAGTGGGAGTAAGATGAGACCAAACACAGTTGTTGGAGTTGGGTGTAAAATCAGGGTGAGATCATGAACACTGCAGATCTGATTCTGAGTTGTGAATGCCCCAGAGACCCACTGATCTCCAATCCTGGGCTGGGCCTGAGTTTGGGGATGGGGAGGTTAATGGAAAGGGCTGGAGTGACCGGCAGAGTGTGGACAGACCCTGCCCCTCTCTAGCCGCGTGCAGGTGAGCAACTTACTTCATCTCTCTGGGCTGTTTCCTTATCTGAGAGGGTAGACCTAGAGGAACAACTCCTATGCTAGGTGTGGTCATCAGAATTACCTGGGACCTTGTTAAAATCAGGGTGCCTGGGGCCCTCCTTGTACATTGATTCAGAAGGTCTGGGAGGATCCTGGGGGTCTGGACATTTTGCAGGTTCCCCAGGAGATTCTGATCCGCCCACCAGTGTTGGAGAGCCCCTGTACGAAGTGAGCCCCAAGGGGTCTTCCAGCTCAAACGTCCCTTTATGCTAAAGTTTACTAAACCAGGTGTAAGAAAGCATAGAAGATAGGCATTCACCTCACTTAATTATTAGGCAGCATTAGAATGAGACACTTTATCAGTCGCTTGTTGCATCCTAAGAAATATCAGTTGGGAGCTTATTCAAAGCCGGCTTTTTGCGTGTTAGGCTGAAACTCTGGGCTTCATTTCACCCTCTTCTATATCCTCTTTTAGGCCATCCCTCCCTGTCCCGTGGTTTAATTACGAGGGGTCACAAACTGGGGACCAGAAAGACAAATCCAGGCAGGCCACACATGAGCTTTACTTAGTCTGACCAGTGTTAAAAAAACAAAATTCAACTGAGTAAATTTGAAGATCTAATTGGCTTTATTCATCCCATCTAGTTAAATAGAAGGGCGCTCTGAGGAGTTGTACAAAGTGAAAGGTTTTTATAGGTGAAAGGAGGGTGGGTCAGGAAGGTATTAGCAGGAGAAAAGAAAGGGGTGTTTCAGGCCAGACTGTCTTCTTTGGGGGGAGGGGAATGGCAGGTGTCTTTATCAGGCAGATAACCTTGTTCCCATAGATTGTTTCAGATTGACTGTTTCAAAGGTCGCATTTCTAGGAGGGATTGAAACTGCAATTAAATCTTGGTTTGCTGTCTGAGGGGGCAAGTGACTCCATTTGGGGCTTGCCCTTTCTTTTTCATGCCAGTATTTTTTTACAAGTCTGAATTTGTGCGGGGTCAGACTGGGCATTTGCTTTCCAGCTCCCCCTGGCCCTGCCACACCAAGTGTGTTACACCAGTGGCTTCAGCTCTTCGCCCTCACTGCCTAGACCCTGACGTTAGATCTGAGCTCAACTCCTGTGTCTAGCTCGCACCTCTTTCTGAGCATTAGCCCCAGAGATCCAGTTGCCTCTTGATAGATAATACAGTTTGTGTACTTAACAGAAGGCCTCGCATGTAGTACAGGGCTAAGTAAATCTTAGCCAGGGGTGTTATTATCCCTACTGTGCACCTCTTCTTAGGGTCTCACAGGCACCTCTGCTCAACCTGTTCAAAGCAGCACTCATCACTTTCCTCACCTTCACCCCAAGCTTCTTCTCTTTCCACAAATGATCTCATCATTAAGTCCTCTAGACTGTGTGGCCCTGGACTCTTTGGTCTCCTTCATTCTGATTCATCATCACAGCTTATGAAAAATCTCTCTTGATTCCATCTAGTTTTCTCCATCTCTGCTGTCACCATTCTAGTCCCAGAGACCATCATTTCTGCCAGAACGATGTAGTTACCTAATTATTCTCCTGCACACATTATTGTTTCCATCTAACCCATTGTTCAATTCGAAGCCACAGTGTTGTTAGGGGAACCACTGACTGAAACTGCCTGTCCTGGCCAGGCACTATAGTAACCACTTGCATGAGTCATCTTACAACAGGAGGTCAACAACCAAACGGAAGAATTTGGGAAAGGTCAGTAGGAGAGAGGAGACTCCGGTCCATATGTCCTGCCAACCTCCCAGAATCCTGCTCACTGGAATCCATCTTGGCTGAGCGATGTGCACGCCACCAGGAAGCACCCTGAGTCAGAGTGCTTCGCCAGAGACAACCTGGAAACTAACCCCATCACCATAGAACCTGAGACTGCGAGCCACGTGGCAGAGCAGTTCTCCTGGGTTCCCTTATACTACTGCTCTCCACCTTGGGGGCCCCTTTCCAATAAAGTCTCTTCCTTTGTCAGCATGTGTGTCTCCTCGGACAATTCATTTCCAAGTGTCAGACAAGAGACCACTCTTGGGGCCTGGAAGGGGTCCCCTTTCCTGCAACAGTTTTACTAAATAAATTTGATCTTGCCTCTCCCCTGCCTGCAGTGGCTTCCCAGGGCCCCAGGATAAAACCCAAATTCCTTACCGAGACCCTCCCCAGTCTGGCTCCTGCTTCCTCCTCAGCCTCCCT